AGAGAGAGTTTTTTAATATTTATTTTTTGGTTTTCGGTGGACACAATATCTTTATTTTATTTGTTTGTGGTGCTGAGGATTGAACCCAGCGCCCCGCCCATGCCAGATGAGTGCGCTACTGCTTGAGCCACATCTCCAGCCCCATGCAAAGTTTTTTACAGCAGGATATATCTGTGCTTCTCTCCAAGGAGGAGAGGTTGTGCCAGGACTCAGGTGTGCCATGCCCCTCCCCAACTCTGAGACTTTCAGTGGCTCCCTATCACCAGAACACCAAGGGCAGACCCCACCCACCCTCAGTCTGCCCCTGAACCCTTGGGGCCTTGGCCTCTGCTTGCCCCAGCTTCCTAGATACACTGACCTCGTTGGCATCTCTGCCCTTGCTCCTGTTCTTCCCTCTGTCTCAGTGTGCCCCTCAGGGGAATGCCTGCCCCTCTTTGATGCCCAGCTGGGAGCTCCCCTCTGAGGCTGGTTCATGCCCCCCTCATGCTCAGTGAGTGCTTCTATCCTAGGAACGAGGAGCAGAGGGCGCCCCATTCCTGATTCCTGTGCCCTCCAGGTGGGCCTGTGGGTGCAAGAGCGTGTCGGGGGGTCAGCTGGCGGCTTCGCTTCCCCAGAAGCGAGGATGGTGGCACGAGCTGGGAGGCTTCCACTCCACAAAGGTCACTGTACCAAGAGCCAGGGTGGTGTGGTCCCTGCCCTCCTGAGGACAGGAGGTGGACATGGATCTGAGCAGACGATGCCCACATGGTCATGATGTAGAAACCAGTGCGTGTTTGTACTGAGGGTGTGAGGGTATGTTGCCAGTTTCTGCTTTTCTAGATTTTACTTTGGCCGGGAGATCCTGGTCCTAATCCTTTCTATGAAAGTCAAGGGGGTGAGGACAACCAGCCCTCCAGGGGGACCTTCTCTCTCTACAGTAGCTGCAAGGTTTTCAGCATTGGTACAATAGCTCAAAAGTCAGCTGAAATGGACTTTTCTTTTAATTTTTCCAAAAGAGGAGTACAAATTATCTTGCAAATGAATGTGTACTTGCAAACAGTGTAAGTAAGCATTATGAAGAGAAGCTCCAGGGTGCTGTTGATGCAGGTCTGGAAAATCAGGATCGGGTCCTCATTCCCCCAGTGTTGACGATTCAACACCAGAGAAAAGCTGGACTTCCTCGGAGACAGAGCTGCACTTCCCTGGAAAGAAGGCAGGACCAGAGCTGGTGTCTCTGGGAGGGGTGTGTGCCTTGCCCCTTTATGGATCTCAGGTTTACTTTCCTCCCCTACTTCCTATCTTGCCCATGTGACCAAAAGGCAGGAAAAGAGCCCCCTGGGGATGCTCACTGGCCACTCCTCCTGTGGGAGGAGCTATTCCTGGAGGGGTGAGTAACAGTTGAGAGCACCATGTGCTCTGAGGTGTTAGCCTTCCATTTCCTTTTTGTTGGTGACCAGCCCCCATCTTTCCACCCAGTCATCCATTCTCCATGCTGACTGCCTGTCTTCTGCCCTTGTCTCATCCCCCCTCCCATCAAGGGAACCCTTACTGCTGTAAGGAGAAGTGGGTGATGACCACTCTGGCTTCTCCAGGCCTGGAGGGAGCAACATGGAGCAAGCAGTTTGGGTTTCCCTTTTAGGACTATTTGGGGTCAATTGAAAGGTCCATGGTAAAAGTCTGGTTCAAAAAGAACAGGTTGTAAAGTCATCTGGGAGGTGGGCGCTTCTATGAGAGGAACAAGAAGACATGGGTTCTGGATGAGATTAATGTAAAATAAGTGAATATGATGATTGGGTAAGAGAGACCAGCACATTTTCTTCACCAGGAGGTTTAAGAGCTAAGAAGTTGTTCCCATGGCAAGGCCAGTGAGGACTTGGCCTCTACTTGGGAGTGCAAATCTTCAGGATATTAGTTATCTGTCAGAGTTATCAGGAATACAAACACACACTTAGTTTTTATAATGTCATAGATGCCCCCATAAGATGTAGCTAAGATACCTAAAGTCACCTAAATTTTGTAAAGTACCTTTCTATTGACATAACCTGTATTTAGTAGAGATCCATTTATTTATGTCACTTAGGGCTAGATAATCATACTAGCAGACACAGATAAAGCCTGCCTATGTGGGAGGTTAGGAAGATTTTTGGGTTTTTTAAAACTTTTTTTACTTGTCAATGGACCTTTGTTTATTTATATGAGGTGCTGAGAATCAAACCCAGTGCCTCACACATGCTAAGCAAGTGCTCTACCACTGCACTATGGCCCCAATCCTATAATTTGTGGGTTTTAAATTGACTTTAAAAAGCTTCTGACTCTGATAGTCTCTTCTCAGGCACTCTTGTCTAAGAATCCTTCTTTCCTACTCTCCTAGCCTCCAGCCTTACATACTCTTGGTGGGGCTGTAACAATGTACAACTTAGGTTGCATTCAGAGAACTATATCTTTTCTCTTAAATGCCTAGGTATGGCTCATTTGGTGATAACTTATTTTTCTATATGTTTAAGACCAAGCTGGTCAATTTTGCCTTGCTCCTATCTATTGTTAAGGGTCAGCTGAGTTTCATCAGGGGGTCACTATTGGGAATTTGAGAGCAGCCTCTTAGCAACTCTAATGCCATCTGCCAGGGTGGGTCAGGGTCTTGTTGACCACATGTGGCTTCCCTTGGAAGTCCCCTCAGTCCTTAGGTTCAAGCTGATCAGGGATGTTTTCCTCTCCAATGACCTTCCTCTCTGCAGCATGCACCCTAGTTGGCTTTCTGGTCTCCAGGGTCTCATGAATCTCCTTGATTGGGAGGTCATGTGACCCAGAGTTGCAAAGCCCTTAGAGAAAGAAGTCCCCTCAGTCCTTAGGTTCAAGCTGACTCCAGAGAGCAAGAGCCAAATATTGGTTGTTTT